TCACAGTGTGTCCTTATCCACCTTACTGACCAGATCTGGCACCATGTGACTTCTGGTTCTTCCCCAAAGTCAAAAGGACCATTAAAGGGAAATATTTTGAACCCATTTAGGACACTGAGGCAGCCACAATAGTGCAAAAGGAAAATGATGGAATATATGTGTTTGAAGCGAGGAGGAATATTTTGAGGGAGAATAATGATACCACATCTTTTAATGTAATTAATTCTTGAAAAAAATTTAAACACATACCATGTTTTTCAATCACAGCTTGTAGAAGTTAACAATAAATTATTTTTTTCTAATGGTACTTAAATTAACATTATACCCTCTGTCATGCTAATGAAATGACCTACAAGATGTTATGATTTATTAATTGTTTAAATGGATGTAGCCAAGAAATCTTGGAAGAACAACATGATATGATGAAGAGTTCATGAGCTGGACTAACTTGAGAAGGCAGAAATCACACTAGTTCTGCTTTTTATTAGTTATTTGACTTCAGTAAATTATATAAACTCTCTGAACCTCAGCGTCATTGTTGGTAAAATGCAAGCAACACAGTCAAGAGAGTATGCTTGCTACTGTCCGTGTCTCCAGCTGACTGCAGCAGAAAAACTTTGCTTAAAATAAAAAAGCAGCCACAAGAAGACTTTTAAAAGTAAACAAAGCTGGTAGATTGGGGGAGGATAGTTAAAATCTGGAGAAAGGATCCACACGGGTGAGTTCCACAGTTTTCCCCTCCTTTTTCTCTCAGGGCCTTAACCTGAGAGAGGGTCTTAGTCAATTGGCAGTGACTTGAGACATCGCCTAAAAGGAAGGCCATGAAAATCCCTATATTTCAGGGAAACTCTAAGGAAAAAGGTCCTTGTGATTCAAAGAACATGAGGAAAATTTCCACTTGTACATCTCTATTTTTTTGTTTTATCATCTCTATTTTTTTTAAATCCCAGCCTTTGCCTCATGGTGATCTTCCTGGAAAACTGCATGGCAGCAGTGTAGGTGATCAAAATGCCAAAAGAAACCCCATCTTTCTTACTACAGGCCTTGGAAAGGGGGCTCCCACTGGATAGATAGTGGGGGTATCCCATAGAGGAGAGAGCTGGAGGAGAATCCTTCATTCTGCTTATGAAGTTGTGTAAGTCTCAGTATATCCTTGAGCAGCTCTGAATTTTGGACAGATCCAAAAGAGTTTAGCAAAGCTTTTGAAAACTGAGCTAACACTGAAACCACCACCAACAGAGGAGATAGAACTTGTGGTCTAAATCCAAGCAGGGTGGTCGCTTACTGGAGCAAACAAAGAAAAAAAAAGTCAATAGTTTATCAAAGGATTTGAACATGATCCCCAATGTAAACACCATAAAATTCAAAAATTTCAGGTTATATTCTGAAATTACTCAACATACAAAGCATTTAGAAAACATGATCAATTCTCAGAGGAAAACACAGTTAAGATGCCAATCCAGAGATGTTGGAATTATAAGACTTTAAAGCAGCCAAAACTATGCTTCATGAAGTCAAGGAAAACACACTTGAAATAAATGGAAATAGAAAATTTTAGTAGAGAAATAAAAGCTTTAGAAGAGAGACGAATGGAAATTTTAGAATCTAAAAATGAAATATTGGTAATAAAAAGTTAAGTAGATAGGCTCAGTAGTTGGAAAAACATGACAGGAAGGAGTCAATGAGCTTGAAGAGATCAACAGAAATCTAAATAAAAGGAGAAAGACTGAAAAATAAATAAACAGAACTTCAGGGACAGGTTGAGATAAGATCAAAGGCCTATCATTTATGTTACTGGAGTACCAGAAAAAGGAGAAAACAACTGGTACAGAAAAAATATAAAAAAAAATAATGCCTGCTAACTCCTTAAATCTGTTAAAAAAAAAAAACAAAAAAACAAACCCAAGTTATCAATTCAAGAAGTTAAGCAAAGCCAAAACTGGATAAACTTAAAACCACGCCCAGACATGTCATAACCAAATTGCTGAGAAATAACAATAAAGAAATCTTAAAATCAGAGAAAAACAGTACATTACATATGATACAATGATGCAAATGCTCACATAGTTATCATCAGAAATCAGAGTAACAATGGTTATGAGAATAAATAGGAAATGATGTCTAAAGTACCTCACAATTGGTATCATTATTTTTCTTCTTCTTCTTTTTTTTTTTTTTGTACTGGGGATCGAACTGAGGACTTAACATTTGCTTGCCAGGCAGGCACTGGGCTGCTGAGCTAAATCCCCAGCCCTGGTATCGTTATTTTAATTGCTGTTCCTTTACTACATCCTAGCATACTATATTTCCCATTACATTTCTTCAAACTTGCCACTTTTCCTCTTTGCACATTTGAACCCAATAACTGGGTGCAAAGACAACTTTGATACTGTGTATTTATTCTCGCTTATGAAAAATATTTTCCTCTTGTTGAAATGAACCTTTGGTAATTCATGATTTTGATCAAGTGGTTTTGTTTTTTTTAAACTCTGTAAGTTTCCCAAAATATTACATAGGTATAATAACGTATTTTTTACTCTTGTAAGGATATTATGAAAAGCAAATGGGACAGAGGAAAATACACAGATTTTTAGGCCCAACTAAGACACTGTAAAATCACATAAGTCAGAAATCAGTACTAGCCTAGAAGATGTAAAGGCCTGATTCTTTCGACCAGTCTCTTGAGTAGGTACTTAAAGGTATTCACTGCCCACGTCTCTTCCATAGGCTCGTAAAGTTGGGGCTATGTCAGTGAACGACGCTGTTTTCTGCTCACTGCCTTATGGTCAGGACAAGCAGTCACCACATGAAACTCAGGGTCTTTAATAAGGTGCTTGTGGCTGTCGTTTTATGCTCATTTGGCTTATATTACGTGATATTTCCTTCAGCGTTAGAGATTTCAACCTCTGTCATCACTTGGGCATGTGGAACGAACAGTAGTCCAGTTAAGGTACAAAAATACCAAATTCAAGTAGATCCCCAGGATAGCTAATTTCAGTAAGCACAGCAAGCTGAAATGGATCAGAAAGTCTAGGCATTCTGATAGGGGTTAGAAGTCCATGACCCCTTTCTGCCCTCCCTATCTTCCCAAAGGCTGTGAGCAGTGACACGTATATCATCTGCAAGCAACACAAGAGCTTGATCTCCTGGCTGAACTCTTGTATATGAAGCAAGTAAAAGCATGAAGCAACACAAGAGTGTCTGAGGTTATAGCAGGATGTGAAGAACAGGTGAGATCTGTTTTTGGTTTTGATCTGATAAATGCGCACATCCCTCTGCAAGGATGGCCAGTGCCTATTGGCCCCAGAATTATCAGTAATCCAAGTAGAAGAGGTGTGAGCAACCACAGGAATTACAACTGATGTAATGAGCCGTTCAGGGTTCACTACGCCAGCCTCGTGTACTTGGGCGAGCATAGGCTCCTGGCAGGATCAGCCAGGTTTTCTCTCTGTTTAGTTCCCCATCTCTGAATAAATGACATCCCTGCATAAAGAATGGCATCATAGAAAGACTGAACAAGATTAAGAGTCCTGCAGAGGGCTGGAGCCACTTCCTCAGAGAGTCTCTAAATCCTTAGTCAGTGTTAAAGGAAAGCCACACAGGCTTCTTGGTTCTTAAGATTCTCTATTTAACAGAAATCAAAGAATGAGCAGCCTGAGTCTAGTCTGGGTTTTACTTGGGATGGTGTCTTAGTCTCTTCTTGTGTTAAAATGGGGTAAGAGACCCCTGTTTTTCAAAGAATGTTTCTTGTGCATCTCAATAATATGAATGCATTTAGGGAAGAACAGAATTTGAAAACTTCTATATGGTACAAAGTACTCTTTATGACAGATGGAAAATAAAGGTGTGGAAAAAAGTGGTAACTAGCTTAAATTCATTGTTTTGAGCCAGAAAACCTTATACCACCCTGTTCATTCTATTCTCATTCCTATAAGAAGATTGTTATAGAATAAAGTTGTCCTGGCTTCCCTATATTTGCTGCTACAGTTTGGATGTGGTTTGTGTGTCTTCTCCAAAGCTTCACCTGCTGGAAGCTTGGTCATCAGGGTGGCTACGTTATGAGTTGGCCGCACTGTTAAGGAGTGGGGTCTAGTGGGAGGTAATTAGGTCGTACAAGGCACTCTGCTTGGGAGATATTATTCTTTAGGACCAAGGTCGGTTCTTGCATTATAAATAGAGTGAGCCTGGCCCCTGAATCTCTCTGGCCTCTTGTCTCACCATGTGATCTTTCCCCGTCATACACACTCTCTCCATGATGCCATTGTCAGTAACCCCACATATGTCCTCCCACAATGTTTCTCCCCTGTGGACCATATTGTTTTTTAAAGAATGTGTTCGGTGTCATTAATGTAGAAAAACTGTTCTCTCCTCTCCCAATGTACCCTCCTATCTATGACTAGGTGACGCGTCTCTCTTATTGCTAGTCTTCTTCTACAAAGAGATATGGCAAAACCCCAAAGAGTATTTCTCCCTTAAGGTAGGTCTACCTAGTCCTTTTACGTCAACAACGTATTTCCACACTTGACTTCAATTTTTTTTTATTTGGTGCTATCATAAGCGCTCCATTTCTATTCCCTTCCTTGGTAATTACATCAGATAGCATTTCAAACTCTTACTTCTGTCCTGGTGTACTTAATGTATCTCTGAAAACTGAATCCACAAACAAAATATTTCAAATTAAAGAAAAGACAGTCCCCTAAGAATTTGGTTTGGGAATAGTTTACTCTGAGTTAGCAGACTGAGTCACCAATGAAACATAAGATTTATCTTAATGATTTAGTTATTTACAAATTTTCACCAACAGTAGGAAATTCTATCAGAAGTCACCAGAGTAATCTAGCGGAAGGGCCCAGGTGCAAAGTTCAAGAGTTTTGTTAAAAGAAAGCCATAAGATTAAAATGATAGACTAAGGTCAAGGCCTTAGGGCACAAATCTCAGAGTGACCCAGCAAGAGATCGACTTTCTAACAATAGCGATGGAGAGTATCAGAGTACCCTTACCTGTCTTCTGTTAGTTTCATTAAGGTTGTTCCTCTAGTAGAGAAGACAATGAAGGACATTCTTAGTTGTGGGCTGGAAAGGAAAAGAAACTCTATTAGGGTAGATAGAAAAGCTGTACCATGTCATTATTTTCTGGGCTGCTTAGCTGTTCTTGTCTTTGTAGCATGGTTACCAGAACTAAGGACCTACAACTCAAAAGCCTAGTGTTGTAAGCAGTTAGCCAGCTGTAGACTCCAAAGTTGTGACCCAAGGAGGAGACCGGCTGTATCTTTTTTAAGAGGCTGCACCTGATTGAACCCGTTGATCAGCGAGTATGAATTAGAAATAAGAAAGATACTCATTCGAGAAATGCAAATTAAAACAACACTAAGATTCCACCTTACCCCAGTAAGAATGGCTAGCATTAAGAAATCAACCAATAACAAATGCTGGCGAGGCTGTGGAGAAATAGGAACCCTTCTCCACTGCTGGTGGGAATGCAGACTGGTGAAACCACTGTGGAAATCAGTTTGGAGATTCCTCCGAAAACTAGGTTTAGAGGTCCCATTCAACCCAGCTATCCCCCTGCTGGGTATTTTCCCAATATATCTAAAAACATCATATCACAGTGATATATGTGCACCTATGTTCATAGCAGCACAATTTGTAATTGCTAAAATGTGGAAGCAACCCAAATGTCCATCCACCGAGGATTGGATAAGAAAATTATAGTACTTTTATATAATGGAATATTACTCAGCTATAAAGAAAGATAAACTCGAGGCCTTTATATTTAAATGGTCACAACTAGAGACCATACTCATAAGTGAAATAAATTAAACATACATGTGCAAGCACCGCATTGTGTCACTAGTGTAAAACTTGAAAGAGTTAATTTAAACTCGGAGGTATGATAGACACTGTGAAATGATAGGTAACCACCGAAGAGTAAAGGGCTTCTGGGATGTGGGAAAAGAGAAGGGAAAGAAGGAGAAATTTTGTATGTATGTATATACAGGATAGATAACATGGTTGTTCTTCTATCTGCTGTTTCTATGCTGAAAGAAACTGTCAATGAGTCTTTGGTTGACCAGTATTGCATGTCTATATCTGTTTTCATGAGAAGCCACTTTGAAGATATCAATATGTAATACAACCACCATTGTTAATTCCCTACCACTTTGTTTGTAACTCTGTATTGTCTGTATTGTGCTTGTGATATGTTGTAAAATGTTGTATGTCTGTTAATGTTTCCCTCCTTTTATCCTTAAAATAAATTAAAAAAAAGAAATAAGAAAGATAAAACCAGTCACTGCTTTGGGTTCTTTCTGCAGTGTGTCGTGAGAAGAGGGCTGGTCTGCAAGGTGTCTATAAAATGGGGAATCCTGATAAACAAAGTTGGTAGTGTGTCCACAATGGCCTGGTGAGTTCTATAAGAAAGAGACTGTCTCCAATATGGCAGCTTGATGCCATCAACCATTAACATCATACAGTGACTTCCCTTTGATCTCAACGTTGGGATCATCATCAATTTTTAATTTCTCCTTGGCTTTCCAAGGACATTATCCTATAAGGAGAGAGGAGTTATAGCTATGGAATATCTATTTCACTTGGTAGTTGTATGTTTTTTAATGAATAAATTGGCACTGTTTTTATATGGCGTGCTCAGGAGCACTGTTAATGTAAAATTCACACTCTGGGAGACAGAACCACTCCTAGTTGAGGACCCAACATGTACCTCACTCTACAAGATGGACAGCCAGCCTGCATTGGGTTTAGCAAGGCAGTATTATCCTTGGGGCTCTCTCTGCAGGAACAACAAATTCATCCCCATTAACTATGGCTTCACAAGGCAGTAACCTCCCACACCTGATTGGGCTCCAAATCTTATAGCTCCATTTTCCCAAGGTGTTTCTCAAACCTGAGCCACTTTTGCACATTTTAGCTTGGGACCTTGGCCTCAATCATCTGACCATTTAGCTTGAAAAGAGTGCCTAACATCATTCCCTGCTCAAATTCATTCTTCATACTGCTTTCTGAATTATTTTCCTAAATATAAATTAGATCTTCTGGTTTATCTGCTACAAAATCTTTAATGTCTCCAGAATATAGTCTACTTCTCTGGAAAGGACAGCATGGTGTTTAGTACTGGGTGAGAGCCCCAATGTTATCTGATGAACTAAATATTATTCTCCTGAAACAGACTTTGAATAAGATCCAAAATGTACAATAGATACTGTGAATAGGGAAGAAACTGATCAAAAACAAAGAAAAACTGTGGTGGGAGAAAGGGGAAAGGAAGGAAGGGTAGAGGAAAAAATATATACACACACAAGACAGTTAAGATAGTTACTCAGCTGGGTTTTTTTGGCTCATTGAGGGGAAAGTTTTGTGCTAGTAATTTTCTGGACAATGTTTCATGCCTGTATCGTGTATTCTGAACAGCTACTGTGAATATAACAATATGCAGTGTGTTGATTACAGTTATTGTCCTACTAGGCTGTTTTGAAACTTGTTTTATTGTTATTTCTTGCCTTTTTCTGTTCGACATTAAAAAATCTCCTAAAAATAGACTTTGGTTCTCTGTCCTTGACGCTGTAGTGCCTATTACTATCTCAACCACGCTGGGGCACTGTTCAACGACAGTGACAATCTTATTGAGTTCTTTTGTGCCACATATTACTGTCATCTGAATGCATGAATCCATTAAATTTGGAACAACTTGATGAGGTTGGTACTATTATTATTCCTATTTTCCATGAAAGAAAATTGAGGCGCTGAACGATGAACCAATTTTGCCAAGGTTACACAGTGGCAGGAGTTCTGATTCTAGAGCTTGGGTTCTTAATCCTATATTATATTGCCTTCCTTATTACTGGCTTCAGCTCTGGAAAGAATAGATTTGAAATGTGGGAAATGCAGGTATCCAAGACCCAACTGGATATAAGCCTAGGATGGAGACTTAATTCTGGGAGTTACCCACATACTGATATGGACGAAGTTGTTCTGAGAAATAAGAACAGAAGCAAACCAAATATAGACCCAGCACTCACATTAAAAGGGCTGGTTAAGGTCAGGAGCTGAAAGGAGGAGCTGCAAGGAGAGATAAGTCAGTATGAGTTGGAGCCCCTATATTCAACAGGCTAAGGAATGCAAAGAGCTCACGGGATTTGTCCTTTTTTTTTTTTTTTTTTTTTTTTTTTTTTTGAGACAGGGTCTCACTATGCAGTTCAGGCTGGCCTTGAGCTCACTTTGGAGCCCAGGCTGGTCTCGAACTCACAACAGTCCTCCTGCCTCAGCCTCCTGAGTGCTAGGATTACAGGTGTGCGTCACCATACCGGGCTTTGATTTGCCCTTGAGGGCATCATTGGTGACCTTAGAGAGAGCAAGCAGGTAGAGGGCAAGGACAGAGGTCAGATGGAATGGATTAAGGAATGAATGAGAAATAAGGGTATGGAGACAAGAAGGCTTTAAGGATATTTGAGTGAGAAACCAGTAAAGAAGCTACACTGTACCTACAAAGACATGATCAAGAGAGGCGCAGTCGCTGGCTTTTTGTTCTGTTTGTTGGTTTTTCTTGGGTTTTGGTAAAGGGCAAGGGAGATTGTGTTTATAGTCTATAGCAAAAGAGTAAGGAAAGAGGTAGAGAGAAACAGAAGAGAGAAGCAAAGACCTGTAGGAAAAGAGATAATGGTGAAAAGGGGACTAAAATGGAGAGGTCAGCCTTACAGACAGGAGATGCTTGGCTCTCAGTGACCAGTACCAAGACATACAGGCAGCATGTAGGAGCAGGACTGGAGCTTGAGATAAGCATTCTGTCCGCTCATCTTTGGGTTCTTGATGAAGTAGGAGGTAAAGTTCTTGGCTCAGAGTGACGGGTGTGAGATATGGATACGGCTTGGGGAATTGAAGAAAGTCATGAACAGTTAGAATCACTATCAGGAAGATGACAGGTAGTCAGAATAAAGGCAAATAAAAGGACTTGAAATGCTAAGGATCCCACTGAAACGAGCAATGATCTATTTGTAACGTCACTGATTATTTTTATTAAATGGGTTTCTCCTTGCAGTGCCAACTGTCTCAAACTATTTATTAAAATGAATAAATAAAAACTATCCATTCACTTATTCAAAAACGTTGATAAAGCATGTACTACATGTCTGGCACTGTTACAGGCAGGTAGGCTGCAGCAGTGAACAAAATATAGTCCCTGCCACATGGGATATGCATGATAGTAACATCTTGGAGCTGTGCTTTGAGGGCTCTACAGCCAAGGAGTTCCGAGGAGACAGCCTGAGGAGAGTGCCTTGTGGTCCCGATTTTTTTTTTTTTCTTTTTTTTTTTGGTTTTTCTCCGGTACCGGGAACCGAACTCATGACCTTGCACTTGCCAGGCAGGCACTTTTGCCGCTGAGCTAAATCCCCAGCCCCATGGTCCCGATTAAACTGTTCCTCACTCAGCTTGTTCATCAAGGAGATTGGATTAAAGGCCTCCATCCTCTGCTCGTATCTGTCTTTGATTCTAAGATACTGAAGACCTGGGAAGGCGATGTCCTGTACCCACTCAGAGCCAGGTGCTGGGCTAGTTGGTTTGCCTTGTGTTCTTTGTGTAATTCTCACAGGGAAACTAGGGTTCCGCCAAGGTAAGTAAAATGCTATGGTTGCACAATGGAGCTTGGATTCGAACACATGTGTATCCAACTTCAAAGCCTTTCTCAATGGCCTTCCCAGCTTTAGAGGACCAGAAGACAAAAATAGCAAATGGAGACAGAGCAGATACTGCAAGTGTCTCGAGGCAGATGTGTTTTATGTCACGCCAAAAGACCAATGGATAAGGCAGCAAAGGACATTTTGGCCCAATGACCAAAAGACTTTGCTGAAACTGAGACTGTCCAGCTATTTGGATTGCTTGTTGAAAAGGCAGCAATTTCTCATCAAAGTTGTTCAGCATGAGGGCTATGGATGCCTCCTAGGGTAGATTGGGAAGCTATTCCTTTCAATTCTAAGTGTCAGTGATTCCCTTAAGTATGTTTTACTGCCACCCATACTCTTGTTTCTTCCTTTCCCCTATACTTTTTTCTTCCTTCGCTCCTCTTGGCATCTGTTCTCCCCAATCATCTGGATTTAGATGATTCCTTCTGCTGCTTCCAATTTTTGGCATGCAGAGATGCCTCCTCCTAATGCTTTTTCCTTCCAGTTAGGCAGATAGGTACATGTGGACCAATGAATGAATTTAGGAGGATGATATCTGTCATTACCCTGGGTTCAAAAGATAACCTGTATTCTGAGATGAAGAATCTCACTCTACAGCCCCTCATATTAACTGAGAGACTCTATGGAGGCTATCTAGTATAAAGTGGGGCTGTGTTAATATTTGCAATACTCAGGCCAATTTTATCAGACCTTGAAGACTTGCTGCAGGCACATCCATGAAAATTGTGTTATCCATTGGAGGCTGCACTCAGGGAAGGTGATGTGACCTCCTTTCCTGTACTAGTATGTGTCCTTACCTACTGGAAAGTGGTGCCTCCAGGACTTCTGCAATATTTACAGTGACTATGTTCAAATCTGCTTGGAAAAGGGGAATTGAGGATACTCAGATACCTGATAGCAGCCATCACAATTTTTTCAAGATTAAAGAGTGTTCCCAAGACATAAGATTTTCAACACTAAAACTGAGAAAGTTGAGGGCAAAATGAGATGAGCTGGGTGATGTACACCCTATATACAAGTCCGCTAGAAGGTGCCAGTTGTCCCTCTTTGATGCACTGGGCAAGAAAAAGTGTTCATGATCCTTTTACTAGAACATATTCTGCATCTTATAATTAAATCTGGCTCTTCGTGGAAATACTAAACCAAGGTTGTTTTAATGTGTGGCACAGAGCGAAACAAAGTAAACAGTACCTGGTCCAAGACTAAAGAGTCCACTTTTATGGAAAAGCATCCTCAAAGTGGTTAGGCGTCAGCAGAACAGCAAATATACACTGGTCCCACCCATGGCAGAGAACTACAGTGAAGCATTTCTTACCTGATGAATTTATGAGCCAGCTGTTCCACAAAGTAATAGATCTCATTCCAATGGTGCAGCACACTTCCAGATCTTAAAATTTAAAAAAAAAACAACAAAAACAGACATTGCTTAACTCAGCAGTTCATTTGCCTCCACCTTGCATTATTCCCCTTCACATTCTATTATTTTACATTTGACCTATCCAATAACCAGGCTCATCAACTGAAATCTTTATAAATCTAGAAATCTTTGAAAATCTGTTTAAATTTTCCACTAGAGTTCTTAACAGCCTTATTAAAGCCATCTCCCCTACCTTCCCCCCCCCACGACCTCTATTCCACACACTATACACTGACAGACAAAACCAGAGAAACACGGCTCGAATAGACTCATAGGCTAGTTTCACACCTTTATGAAACAGTTATCCTTGTGCTATTTAAATTATTTCCATGATAAGGGAAGAAAAGCCATCCCAATTCTTTGAACTGAAGTTAGTACAAACAGATAAAACAAGGATTAAACAATCCCCTCAGTCCAATCTCATTTAAAGTATAAATGTGAAATTCTTCAATACAGTGTTAGCAAAACTAATCCAGCAGGGGTCCAAAAGAAGAATAATTAATTAACTAAGTTCATTTTAGGAAAAGTTAAACATTTAAGGGAGTTTAATTTAATTAGTGATATTAATAAACAAAGAAAAAACCTATCCAACTATTTCATTGTATTAAAGAGGAATTGTCTTCCTGAGAAGAAAGAAACTTTCATTAGAATGTGTGGCACCGCAGGAATTTAGATTTGAAAGGATCCTTATCTTGACTAAGAAAAGTCTGACTGCTGTTTCAAAATACCATCTCCTTCCACTTTCATTCAGCTTTAAGTATTTTCCATAGTGCTTGTACTCAGTCTGCTGGGGTGAATCCACATCAACTTCTGCTATTCAAAAGCACTCTCCTGTAGCTCTGATGCCTCCTCCCTTTACTTTATGAATCTGTTTTAGTTGAGTTTTTGTCTGCCATTCTAGTAAGTGTTGAGATTTGAGTTTGCTTCTTGTAATCTGACCTTTTGTACTGGAAACGTTTTCTACTGGTTTCTGATTTTTTTATGAATTCATTTGCAATTTTAACCTCTAAACGAAGGAGTTATTTGTTGCCATTTTCCTTGTTTCAGACTATTGCACATAAAAGAAGATTCCACGCAAAGTACTCTGTTTTGTAGATACAATATTGGTAAGAATTCTCATTTGGTTGAATTTATTCCTTGTCTGTGAGAATTTATTTTTCTCTATCCCATATCTGTAAGGGCTAAATTTTTCTGAACTTGGACAAAAGCAACACAGTGCATTAAGGTCATACCATTAAAGACTCCATATCATAAGGATGTCTCATTTTCTCCAAGTTAATCTATCACTTTACTTCTAGTAAAAAATTCTAATGAAAATTAAAGTCTAAAACTAAACAAAACAATTCTGAAAAAAAATTTTAAAAACAAGGCAAGAAAACTAACCCTACCAGATATACTACCCCTTGCATCGTGGGTACATGACATAACAGTGGAGTGAACACGTAGGACAGGAAGCCCAGACTTGAACCAATATGAGATCTGGCTTCACAGCAAAATAGGTAACTCTGGCTGGGGAGGGAGAACAAACTTTTCAGTACAGGATGCTGTAGCAGGTGGGCTCCCAACTGAAGAAAAAACTTAGATCGCTATTTCCACAAGTGTAACTCTAGATGTGTTAAAAACCTAATGAGAAAAGCAAAGCTTTAAATCTGTTGGGTGAATTACAGAAGGTTTTTATGGCTTTGGGTCACTGCAGTTTCTTAAAGCAGATATGGAGATAGAATTGTTTCTTAATAAAAGCATTAGGTTGATACTGGACTGGATATGTCTAAATTTCTGAATAACAAGACACCAGAAACATGTTTAAAGCCCAGAATGAAAAAAGATGTTTAAAATAAATAGAAAAAGCAAAGATTAGTGTGGAATATATGTCAGTAGTTGGTACAACACATTCGGGACCCCTTCTGTCTCTAGGAGCTATTCCTAATCCCCATTCTTATTCCCCATTCCTTTCTTTTCCAAAAAATTTTTGTACTCTTAAAAAAACTGGTGTAAGTAAATATTTGAAAGGGAGACAAGAGAAAAGTAGACAAAGGATCAGAACAAGTCATCTCTCAAATGATGGCAAATCAACCTATGAAAAAATATTCAACTCTAGAAAATATTGAAATGCATATTTAAACAATATGCATTAAATAGCATTTCATACCATTGAGATTATCAAGAATTAAAATGCCTAATAATATTAAGTGTTGGTGAGAATGTGGGCTAAATAGAAGCAGTGCTCACACATTGCTGGTAAATGTGGAAATTGATGTAACCACTTTGGAAAGCAATTGGGTAATGCCCACAAAGCTTGAAGACAGGCATTTCCTATGACTATAACCTGTTTCTTGGCTATAATAGTCTATGCGAGCAAGGAAAGGTACACAAAGATCTTGTGTAAGGAGGATCACTGTTGCAGTTTGCTAGAGAAAAATAACTTCAACGTCCATTAGTAAGTAGTTTCTACGAATACATTCACACACATATTATTTCTAAGAAACACTAAAACAAATGTGAAAATATGTCAACATTTGCTCATCTATGTGGAGAAGTTATGAATAATTATCCTCTATTTTCCAAAGAACAGATGTTTTAGAATTTTACAAGGTATATTATACAGAGAGTCAAAGGACAGGGATCCAATCCTCAGTCCTTCCGTATATTGGAGATAACCATTGTAATTATATTTTCATACACTGACTTTGAACCCTATTTTGGCTAATCTGAGATAGTATTTGGCATAACTGCAGCAGGGAATAAATTATCTTGGAGATTTCTTACTAAACTGCCCAAGGTGAATGTATGAATGAGATATGGTGCTTTCCCTCCAAGAGCTCACAGTGAAGTAGGGAACACAGACGAATTAAAGTGTCACATGTCATAACGTCTGCTGCAGTTGAGGTCTATGTGTTTGGATCAAAACAAAAGGAGTGGCTCGCTGTGCTTATGCAGGCTTGGATGATGGGAAAGTCTTTAATCTGGGTCTTGAAGGACAGGTGGAGACTTGTGAGGAAAACAGGGGAGAGAGGACATCCTTGTAAAACATGAAGTCTGCAAGATGAGGCTGTGGGTGGGGAGGGGCCGGCAACTTCCCGTGGTGGCACCATAGAGTCTGCAGGGGAAGGGTGAGGAGTTGGGAAGACACAAAGCATCAGGGTGAGGAGCAGGTGCAGGAGCCCCTCTATCTACAATAAGCCTTTTCAGTTCTCTTCTCTCAGCCTTCATACATGTACATCCCATCTGTTTGGAACATCTCTTGTCCTCCCTGGCAAACTCCTACTCAATCTTCAGTTCAGTCTCTGCTTGTTGCTTTTGTCCAACAGACAGGACAAAAGCCTAAGTCAGATAAGAGTCTGCTTCATGCTCTCAGGGCACTGTGTACTGTCATCACCCTCTGATATTGGATGGAGATCACTATTTGTCCAAGCTCCTTTTATGAGGGTCTTAAAGCAATCTGCTTTCCCAGATCTCCCCTTTTGCTGACTTGCAGAAAGTAGAGCATGGAGAGGTGACACCTACTTCTGTGGACATCATGTGTCCCACTGTGGTGTGGATGAGCACCTTGGGTTTGGGATTCAGGTGACTTCAGGCAACTTTTATGACCCTAAACGAACCTAAGGGTGTTCCCACAGCTCCTTGGTGAGTGGGGCTATCTAATCATCAACTATAGATTGCCGTTGGAAATCCACCATGAGCTCACCAGACTAGCTCATCTTAGCCTAAAGCTTGTAAATCTTTGGGAATCTTTCCATTAGGACCTCAGCCATCCTTCTGGACAGGATTCACTTGTGTATCTGAAGTCTCAAAGTCTGGTGCTGAGTGTTCTTCAGCCACGGGGTGGAGGCACTGGTCCTAGAGCTCCTGGATGAGAGTCTAGCAGGTATGACACAATGCTTTTCAGGTGCTTTGAGAGAGATACCACTCACCTGACTATCAGCTGTTGTCTAATCCAGAAATCTACAACTCTTCCAGTGGGACTAAAAGATTTCCTTGAACACTGGTCCTCTGTGCTCACTTCTGAAATGCAATGCTATTTGGGGGTCTATATAACCAGGACAATCATCCTCTGAAATTTAAGTTACCTGTGGGTAGAGTAAGATGCCTAAGAGGGGAACCTCACACCTCTCCACCCATGTCCAATTTCCTCATCAGTAGAGAAGTTCAGCAGTGAGGAAATCATATTGGGAGGGATGCATAGTGAAATAGGAACTTGAACTAAATCGGGTGACTATTCTTGACACCTTGCTTAAAATAAGCATTTGAAATAAATTCTTTTATGGGTGATTATTTCTTCATTCTGAAGGATTGGCCCTATTTCACAGTCGCAAATCAATTTACATTCATTTACATATTAACAGGGTCACCTGGTGATAATTCACACTTTGCTTTGGTTTAAAACATTTCTTTTCACTATTCTTATATCCAGCTGACATGTAAAATTTATAGAATTTCGGTACTCACTTGATGTGTTGATGCTAGATATAAAGCAATATCCAAAAAACTGTTCTTGGGGGTTGAGAATAATTTATGGTCCACCACAAACTTTCTTGTTAATGGGCAGCTGCTAAATTTTCTCAAGAAGAACATGAGACCCCTAAGACAAAGTGGAGTTGAGGTGGTATAACAAGCTTCCTTCTCACATCTCATCTTGGCTAATAGCTTCCTTGTCTCTGTTGGGGTCTGATATATAGATAGAAAGACAGATAGACAGACCTAATCATCCTCTACATGGTTATCTACACCATGACCACACCTGACATGCACACGTAGCCTATTTCCTTTAGCATCCAAAGTAAACATAACCTAGGATCCTAGGAACCAAACTGGTTTTGTCTCCTTTGGGTTACCTGAGATTTTAAGGGCCTCCGTCAGCCACCAAGGGAAAGAAGCACAGGGTGACCTGGATCTGCTTCTTGGAGACTCGTCTTTACTACTCAGCTTCCTTCACAAACATATGCAGGCTCTGTCCTACTCTAAGATCAAAT